AATTATAAGATTAGCTTCAAAATTATTGATTTCATTATTAATATCAATTACATCTTGGAGGATTAATAAGTTGTCAGTTCACTTGGATAAATTTTCTAACTGAATGTTAGATTCAGTTCTTTAAGCTCTCTGATAACCTCTAGCCTAAATCTATACAACGACTTGAATACGGGAGAAAAAGGCGTGAAATATGGAAGAAACGCTTTACTTCAAATTTCGTTTATGTACAGAAAATCTGGATTATTTTACATGAACTTAGGCTTCCGGAAATTTCTGGAACACTACTAAACCTAGTAGTAGAATAAGTAATCATTCAAACAGAAATGTAACATGTTACTTTTCAATTTCTAAATGTTTCTGGCAAAACTTCTATTTAATGTTGATTGAATAAGATGTTTCCCAGCGTTTTTAGAGCCTTTTTTTGAAGAGTTTTCTAGATCTTCCCAATAACTTATACTCATTTCTACCAGTTCCTCATAAAACACGAAGCTTTTCTAATTCAAAATAAACTTACCAGTAGTTTGAAAGCATTGAAAGAATAATGAACTGAATATCTTGACTTTCAGGTAGATAGTAAACAATAAGACAGTAATGAATTAAGTATATTTCTAGTAATTGCATTTCAAAGGGAATACTTTTTAAAAATCTTATTATAACATATGTGTGTAACTGAGTAAAATAACGAAAAGCTTATTAATTTTAACAGGTGTTTCCTGAGATTCTAGTGCGAATTTGTGACTAGTGAATTCTCTCAAAGTAAAACCACTTACCTGCTGTCACTATGTTAACACTGTCTCTGGCAACCTTAACTAATTTGAACAATATCTAACATCAAAAATATATCACTGTGTCATATGACACATATATTTTTGTAGACCTGATTGATATATTTTGGTAATTATTGCTTTGTTGTTCCGTGCTGACTGTTTTTGTTTTAATTTCTCTAGTTGTAAATAATTATCATTCATTCGATCTGGTACAGGGAATGACCTTAAATATACCGTTCATAAATCAATAGGCTGTCGATTTAAGAAGAATTAAAAGTTCCCAGCTGATGCACTGTATTGTTGATGTAATACATGTACTACCTAAACAATTACTGAACTAGTATACTTAAAACTATCTTATATCACGTATTTGTTCTCTACATCTAATGTTACTATTTATGTCAAATTGATCATGCCTGTAAACTGGTGTGAATTCTGTAATTATTGTTTCCAGAATATATATTACTTACTTACTTACGCCTGTTACTCCCAGCATTCTCCAATCCACTCTGTCCTGGGCCTTCTTTTCTAGTTCTATCCAATTCTTGTTCATTTTTCTCATGTTCATCTCCATTTCTCGGCGTAATGTGTACTTTGGTCTTCCTCTTTTCCTTTGACCTTGGAGATTCCATGTGAGAGCTTGTCTTGTGACGCAGTTGGGTGCTTTCCTCAATGTGTGTTCTATCCACTTCCAACGCTTCTTCCTGATTCTTCCTCCACTGGGATCTGGTTTGTTCTCTCCCACAGTTGGTTGTTGCTAATAGTGTCCGGCCAATGGATCTGAAGTATTTTGCGTAGACAACTGTTAATAAACACCTGTATTTTCTGGATGATGGCTTTCGTAGTTCTCCAGGTTTCTGCCCCATACAGTAGAACTAGAATATATATATATATATATATATATATATATATATATATATATATATATATATATATATATATAATTGTTATTAATAATAATCAACAATGGTACTGGAAGACATTAAGTATTCGATGTTACGAATGAAAATTATGGCATACTTATTCAATGGCCTAAAGTTTAAAAAACTCACTACGAGATTTGAATATCCTGTCTCAGATCTTATGGAAAAGCATTTCTGAAGTGTTCATCATAATAGAGTTCTCTTTTTTTTTCTTTTTTAACTAATTGTCTGACTACAGTCACTCTGAAACATGATACACATCATTTACATTATACAATTGTCTACTTATGAATATTAATATATTCATCCAACTCTAAGACACAAATCAGTCATTTTTTGTTTGGTAAATAGGTTGGTATATACACTGACATATATTGTTAGACAAGTAAACAAATAATCTTTAAAACGGAACAACATTCATCCCTCTATATCTCCCCCACGTCTAATTCAACATGATGAATAAAGAAAAACAAACGCTAGAAGAAAAAAAAATTGAATTTTCACTTCTAGTCATAATCATATTTTTATGTACGACAGATTTTGTCAAACCAATCACCAAACAAAAAAACTACAACTAAGAGTACCGTTTTACATTGTTGCTTTTACTCAATTATTGGACATGTATTTGTCTACAATTTATGATCACGTGTGTTTGTATATATATATAGGTCGTTTTGTAGCACGTTATATTAGCGTTCATTCGGAAACAGGAACGATCTGAAACAACAACACAACAGTCAGGACCGGTAAATGCCTCTAAACTAAGAATGCGGCGTACTGGCACGACATATATATTAAAAATAGAAAGACACGGTTCGAGTACAAAAAATAGGGAACTGCAGGTTAAGCTTACGTAGGGCTTGTTCCTCTTCCTACAGTACGTTTACTCTTTACTATCCTACAATAAAAAAAAAACAAACTTACCTTAGTAACGTCACATGTAATGATTTTTTATACCGTTACAATTTCATTAGTTAAATATTGAGCAATTCAAATCATTAAAACAATGACCAATCAAAACATAGTAAGCATTTTAAAATAAGATTAGGAAAATTCATTTAGGTTCCAAACAACTGATAATCATCAGTGCATTTTTAACTAGTTAACTTACATAATTCAGTGATGCAACACGAAATGATTTCAATTAAACCAGCAAGATGTTTGTTTTAATCATTAGAAAATAAATTATGGAATCATTCATATAATTTAAATGATAACAATAATAACAAAAACAATAACATAAATCAAACGAAATCACTTATCAATGAACAGTGTCAACAAAATTTCAACTTACTTACTTTTACTTACATACGCCTGTTACTCCTAATGGATCATAGGCCACCGATCAGCATTCTCCAACCCACTCTATCCCGGATCTTCTTTTCTAGTTCTATTCAATTGTTGTTCATTTTTCTCATGTTCATCTCCATTTTCCGCGTAATGTGTTCTTTGGTCTTCCTCTTTTCCTTTGACCTTGAGGATTCCATATGAGCGCTGTTTGTCTTGTGACACAGTTGGTTGCTTTCCTCAATGTGTGTTCTATCCACTTCCAGCACTTCTTCCTAATTCCTTCCTCCACTGGGATCTGGTTTGTTCTCTCCCACAGTACGTTGTTGCTAATAGTGTCCGGCCAACTGATTCGAAGTATTTTGTGTACACAGCTGTTAATAAACACCTGTATTTTCTGGATGATGGCTTTCGTAGTTCTCCAGGTTTCTGCCCCATACAGTAGAACTGTCTTGACATTTGTATTGAAAATCCTGACCTTGGTGTTGGTTGACAGTTGCTTTGAGTTTCAGATGTTCTTCAGTTGTAAATATGCTGCTCTTGCTTTGCCGATCCGCGCCTTCACATCTGCATCAGATCCACCGTGTTCATCAATAATGCTGCCCAAATATGTAAAGGTTTTTACATCTTCCAAATCTTCTCCGTCAAATTTGATTGGATTGGTGCATGCTGTGTTGTATCGGAGAATCTTGCTTTTCCCTTTGTGTATATTGAGACCTACTGCTGCTACACTGTTCGTCTTCCCTGCATTTGTTGTTGCGTTTGCGATAGAAGGGCCAGATCATCTGCGAAGTTTAGATCTTCCAACTGTATCCAAGATGTCCACTGTATCCCGTGCTTCCCCCAGATGTTGACGTCTTCATGATCCAGTCGATCACCAGGAGAAAGAGAAAGGGTGAGAGTAAGCAACCTTGCCTAACACCGGTCTTCACTTCGAACGACTTTGTCAACTGTCCTCCATGCACGATTTTGTAGTGTAATCCATCATATGAACTCTGTATGATATTGACTATCTTCTGAGGCACGCCGTAGTGTTGAAGAAGTTTCCATAGTATTGTTCTGTCCACACTATCAAATGCTTTCTCGTAGTCAATAAAGTTGACGTAGAGTGGTGAATTCCATTTTCATTGATTGTTCCACAATGACCCGTAGAGTTGCGATTTGGTCTGTACACGATCTATCCTTACGGAATCCTGCCTGTCGGTCTCGAAGTTGGGCGTCTACGCAGTCTTTCATTCTGTTTAGCAATGCCCTGTTGAAGACTTTTCGTGGTATTGAGAGAAGAGTGATGCCCCTGTAGTAATCACACTCGCTGAGATCTCCTTTCTTCGGTATTTTGACCAGAAGTCCTTCTTTCCAGTCTGTTAGTACTTGTTCCTCATCCCAAATCTTGCTGAAGAGAATGTGGAGTATCCTTGCAGTTGCCGCTACGTCTGCTTTCAGTGCCTCTGCTGGAATGTTGTCTGGTCCTGCTGCTCTGCCATTCTTGATGTGTCTAACCGCCATGTTGATTTCTTCAATTGTTGGTGGGCCAACACCGATTAGGAGGTCCGTGCGTGCTGCTATAATGTTGGGTGGGTTTAGTGGAGCTGGTCGATTCAAGAGTTCTTTGAAGTGTTCTACCCACCTGTTTTGCTGTTCTTCAATGTTAGTGATTACCTTGTCTTCCTTGCATTTTACTGGTCGTTCTGGTTTACGGTGATTTCCAGAGAGTTTCTTTGTTATGTCATGCAGTCCTCTCATGTTTCCATCTCTTGCAGCCTTTTCCGCCGCCACTGTTAAATATTCCACATATTTACGTTTGTCAGTTCTGATGCCCCTCTTCACTTGTTTGTTCACTTTGTGTATTCAGCTTGTGCCTTGGCTTTTTCTGCTCTTGTTCGACTGGTATTGACTGCTGCCTTCTTGTTCTTCCTTTCTTGAATCTTATCCAGTGTACCAACAGTGATCCATTCGTTTCAACTTACCATGTCAAAAAAGTCTTGAAATTTTTTGTCAAAATTATGATTTTTATTTGAATCAAATGAAACCTGTTGTTGGTCCGATCAGTTGTAATATCAATGAAAGTGACCAGAAAAGTCGACATTGTCATCATCATCATCATCATCATCATCATCATCATCATCATCATCATCATCATCATCATCATCATCATCATCATCATCATCATCATCATCATCATCATCATCATTATCAACATCACAAACATCAACACACACGACATAAACAGGTATGGCATTGGGAACAGTTGGACACCACACTCAATTATGTCCCCACATTTTATTTGAACAACAAATATCATTCAGATAGTTATCTGCTTCGATCGCATCAACAGGAATATCCAGTACCACCGAATACACCACACAAATGCACTACAAAATCATCAAAATACCAATTCACCGAAAATAAATACAATTCATCTACTTCGTTCACATTGCACAGGTCAAAAGCATATCATCACATATCATCTCCAGTACCAATCATCCAACCAGTTACAACTTCATTTCGTGTGTGCCGTACTCGAAGTAGGAATTCATCAAACTGCACAATGACATCTGGTAGAGCTTCCAAGTATTTGCTTGCTGAACACATACGGAGTAAAAGTGAAGGGAAACACATTGACCACATACACAAATCACATCTCGATGGACACGCGAAATGCAGCACTTGTATTGATTCGACTCGTCGTTCTTCTCAACTTCCATACAAATTATCAAGTTATTCGTCTTCCAATATTCCATGTTCAAAGAGTGTGAATGGTGTTGGGGAATGGGAAAACATTCGATATTCCGAGAAACAAGTGTCTCCCAGTCCACCATCCACATCGAACAGATCTAGTTTGAAGCAAATGAAACTGACTGGTAAGTTGATACACAGTTATTGTCCGTTTCCAATGTTGTTGAACAATGAGGCTGAACAACAGAAGTGTATGAATTAACTCATTCATATGATGATTGTTGCATGGAATCTTGTCCTACTCAGTATCTAACTTCTAACCCACATCTCAAGTCATATACAAAACAGTAAATTTTCTTGAGCACCAGATCTGTGTGAATAAACTGACTCATCCAATCACATTTGCAACACACACACACACACACACCATTGTCTTTTGTGATGCACAACCAATCTCTTCTCATCACTGATTAAGCTCACCACAGAATTCTGTAATCAATTATTGTGAATTAAAAGTCATCATAATGAAATTAGTTCATGTTTGTATTACAGTCTGTAGTGATGGAAGACAAATGATTTACGATCAAATTGATAATTATTAAATGCGGGTACTGTAACCAATGCTAGTTGTTAAGTTTAATGCACAAACACTAGAATATATATTTGTAATCACCATGATCATGTTAAATTGTATAATTGGAGAGAAGATCAAAGTAAATGAGATCCGTGATGATTGAACACATATTAAAACACATAATGGAAAAATGTGATAAGATGAAGATGAGTCGATTGATTGTATGTGAAGTGAAGAAAAAATCACAATGTTATTTCGACTTCTCAATCATCATAGTATATATGTGTTACTACTAACGTTCAATACTTTTTACCACCACTTCTGTTGATCTAAATCTCTGAACATCTTCTAAAGTTGATCATATGAAATCTTTTTCAGTAAAAGATATTTCCACAGAACTATTAAGTTAGTACGTAATCATCTCCAAGATCTATTTGTTATGAGATGAATAATCAGTTAAATAATGTTACTGAATGTTATATCAAGAATATTATTCAAACCACTAACCGATCTATGTTAAGCCTACACTGAAAGTACGAAGGCATGGTTCAGTTCCTGACCTTAGTAAAATTTAACATAATTTCTCCATAATTTCTATACTGCCGAGAGCTTAATCTGTAGTTTACATTGTTTCAGTTCTATGTCACAAGTAGAATAGAGAACACAATTTTTTGAACTAACTGTCTGTCTTGAAATATGTTTTCATGTATGAAGGAAATTTAAAAATAGTTTCAAAAACATCGGATCATACTTCAGTTAATATAATAATAACTTCTAACAAGGCTAGTTAAGTAAAAGATGAAAAGCAAAAAATATTAGAAAATTGATTTATTCAAGTGTAGAACTCGTCAACCATGTACTTTCACGACTCAACTGGATATTCGAACATATGAACTTCAGATTTTACAATGAGCGCTTAACTACTCTACATTTCTATTTTCAGTATTTAACAAATATCATTCAATGCCATTGGTATGTAGGTGGCAAGCATTCAGCGTTTTTGAACTCCACTGATTACGCTTTACTAGAACTCAGAGAGCCACCTGTTCGAAATAGTCACTTGTGTGCACAATATTATGATTGATTGGAAGTTATTCTTTGTTATGAATTAACATCGGTTAGAGTATTTATTAATGAAGATCAATGACAATTTAATGGATTTTCAATCCTGTTCTAGGACTCATTGCTAATGCATACAGTTGATAGTTAGAATGAGGAATTAAATTTATAGTTTTCATCACGAACTGACATCAACTAAAATTCCAAAACTCTATTTAGCCAAATGGATGACTGAATTTCGCACACAAATCCAAGATCTATGACTTTATATCTTAGTAGTTAGTCCATAAATTATAGTCTTGTCGGACCCTGTTACTGATGATAATGATGATGAATCCCACTGCTAGCCACTATCCATCTTAGCTTATAAAGCTTATGACTTAAGGCTATATCGAGGCAATCCGCATATGATGCACATATGCCAATATGAGACTGATCAATTTCAGTCCTAAATAACAATGGGATGATGCAAGTAAAACAACACCAAATGAGTTTCTGTTGTAAATCCTGTTTGAAGAATTTGCAATAAACTATTCAAAAAATAGAGGTTAGACTATATGCCATATTTTAGTGGCCCATATCTAACTATAGTTTCATCGTTTCTGATTGCTATTGAGATATGTATGTCACCAATCATCATATACAATTATTAACTTAGATCGCGTTAATGAATAACGGAACTAAATAAGTCAAATACGAGGCTGAATTTTTCGAATATATATTTGAAACACTCATTGATCTGGGCAGGCAATCAGAAGGGACGAAGCGAAAAAAGAGAGTGAAGCGAAAACACACGAAGTGGAGAAGTCATGTAAGCCAACTTGATTTAGTCAAGCGTTAATTGATATAGTCACACAAAAATAAGTTATATGGGCATAACATATTAACCTACATTACAATATATATACGTTTGTAAAGAAATACGCATTTTCTCTTCATCCCTATAATTTTACTGACTATCAGTTAGTTAAATGTCATAAACAACATAGAACCAGATACATAAATGAATCATTTCAAGTCATCACACTAATTTTGTATAGATAAGTGAAATTATCAATAATCATACCAGGGAAATAGAAGTAGTAATGAAGAAGAGAGAAAAGGAAACTGAAAGCAGTCAAGATAACAACAGGAATGAAGAAATAATGAGAGACAATTCAAAGAAAATGTGCAACTGATGCAATTGATGCATGAGTTTCACATTTCACTAAATCAATATGTGATTATGTTGTAGTGATGAAGAACATAGGTGAGGACAACCGAATTATATTTAGCACAAAATTACAGAGTTACTTGGTAAAATAGAAAAACCATACTATAATACTTAATTTGCGAATGTTCAATAATTGTCTCGAACTTCGTTGTTCTTGCATTACCATACTAATTGCTTTCTATTCCCGCTCTTCCTTTCTTGATCTTCCTCATCTTCTGCTGCCAGACATTACATTCCTGACTTGCGTCATATACTACTTGCATCAATACAAGTAGCACGCACCACAATTATTAAAAATAAATTGGTTATCCGTTCTAGAGTATTCATTCACTACAGAAACAGTATTAGTAATAGTATAGATAATTACGTACACACAATTACAATAAATTATTTTAAAATGCTTTTTTATTCAAGATCTAAAGGAAGATAAAGAATGAATTCATCTTGAAAACTGCTACAGCATTCCGACTATATAACGTGTCTTCAACCCTTGATTTCAATAATCCTACAGATTACAACCTGGTAATTTCCACTGATCTAAATGGCTCATTTCAATAGTTAGCTGTCAGCAGATTTCGAATATCACTTTTCGTTACAAACTGATCGTATTATAATCAAACCTTTGGAAATTCTTCTAAAATGATAATAGCGTGATGTATGCTACATATGATGGCAGATATAAGTAGTATGTAACATCAATCAGTAGTGGAATGCTTGGCAGCAGAGTATTGAAAAGATCGAATTGAAGAGAATAAAAAACGTAAACAGTGAGTAATTGTAATGACAACAAGAATAAAGGAACGATGAAGCTTATAAGAGCAACTGATGGATGATGTGCAAATAAAAGTATTTAATACATGGTTTTCATATTTTAGGAAGGCGCATTATAATTTGCTATCGAATAATTAATTGGCCATCTCTATCTGAGTGTTCATTCACAACAATAGTACCACATTTTCTTGAATGACTTCTCTCCCCTGTTTTTGTCTTTATCAGCTTTTTTCCATGACGTACTTAACCATGTTTTGATATTTCCCAGTCTTCTTTGACCGAACCTTGATTAGTTGACGTTGGTTAAGATTTCCCTTTAGTATCCCATCTTTTTTGTTGTATGATGTTGAATTATTAATAATAAGGTCTTGTTTGGTCGAACTCAACGTTGCAGTGTGTTTGACTGTCTGCTAGAAATGTTTCTTGCTTAATTTGACTCTTGGATACAGGATATTTTGCTATTTAGTGTAAGTCACTTCTTCATCGAACAAATATACAAACGAAGTAAAATTTACACAAGTTTAAGTCGTAAGGAAAAACAAAACAAACAAAAAATATATAACAGGATCAAAAACAAGTTCAATCATGTCAGTGTCATGAATAAATGATTCGATCAGACAAATCTAATCATATTTACATTGTACACCATTGACATGCATACGAGTAAAACTCTACACTTTCTTCTTATAAATATCACAATTTAAAACTCACTAACAAACATTTCTTACAGTGAACAACATTGACTCGAACGATATGACATTGACATGACCAGGCGTGTTTTTTTCTAAATTTTTTAGTGTTTCGTATACTACAGTTGAACGTAAATGATGTGAATATGCAACTTATGTCACTGTTAAACCACGCGACAACAATCCGACCTGGAATACATAGACGTGGTAACCAGGTTGTTTTTCATCTATATCATGCTTTAGGAAAATATATATAGAATGTCACCACGTGAATGTTTTATTTAGAAACGAAGAAAATAGAAGAGTAAAGTTTGTAAAGTCGACTGACTGTTATATACACTATGTTCATAGTATGTGGTGTTCGATGAGCTTTACTTCTCTTCGAGATTTCTTGGTTTATCTGTCTTCATTTCAAAGATGCAGAATAGCGTCTCTAGAAGTAATTGTTTACGTTGTGAGATCTCGTCATTGATTGGGTATGGGGATAGTACAAGTTTGGTTAAAGCGTTGTACTGGATTTACTTATGGCGTTGACTCGTATATAGATTATAAGTACAATACTCCTATTCAGGTATCTAGAGACGAGTGGTAACATATTCAAAACCATACAATGGCTCAATCTCATGACCGCATTCGATAATAGACAATAAGATTAATTTGACCTACAACTACTAACGGATTCGATTCATGATGTAGTTTGATTGCCAACCAAAATCTTCAGTGAGTTATAGTCTCATTATTACAAATGCCAGCAAAGCACCTATCTCCTGTTTATGTTATAACGTTGAAAATTTTCCCCAATCACTAGTAAATGATCATTTACTTAATTAGGCCACCCACCAGCATTCTCCATTAAACCCATTCCTGAACAATACTTTCTAGTTATTTTCAGTTGGTATTATTTATGCCTGCTTGTAATTCCCGACTCATTGTCTTCTTTGGTCTTTCTCTTTTTT